CGAACCTCGGTTTTGTAGTTTTTTTGTAAATTTTGTACGAATAAAAGACACGTTCGTCGGATTGTGTTTCACCGTTTCACCTTTGCCAAACGTCGAACGACGGGTGACGCGGTCGTCGCGCGGAAACGATTCTTTCGCGACGTCGATCGCGAATCGATTGTCCATTTCTCGTCGAAGGAGAAACGACCGTCTGTCGTCCGTTTCGTGCGTCTTCGACGACCGTACCGTTTGCTCGAAACCTCTTCTTTTATCCGCGTAGACTCGTCGTCGACGACTCCGAGGTGAGTCGCGTCCGAGGTGTTTCGATTTTTGCGAGATGGAACGCCGCGTGCAACGCGATTTTACGTGCGTTCGTTCGAAGCGAGAGACGAGACTCGAGAGAGACTCGTTCTCCGAAACGACGAATCCGCCGTGCGAGCCGCTCTCGAGATTTCTACGATCTTCGTTTCGACGACGTTCTCCGCGAACGTCGTCGCTGTTCGTTTCCAACTCGATTCGAAACTTCGTTTCGCGAACGTTCTCCGACGAGAGAGCAGTTTCGACTCGACCGATCCGTCTCGTCGAACGGTGCGTGACGGAAACTTTCGAGGAGCTCGCTTCGATCGACGAGAGAAGGGCGTTTTCGCGTTGTGAGAAAGACCTTTATTGTCGTCGGTTACAATGCGCGGTATCGCCGGTACGTTGAAAGGTGTGTCAATACGGACGAGGAGGTGGGCCACCGCGCATCATGCCCGGAGGTGGACCTCTCATTCCGGGTGGTCCCATTGGTGGACCTCCGCGTCCTATCGGTGGCATTCCTGGTGGCATTCCTACGATTTTTAAACGCGGCGTTAGCTCTCCGAATCGATGCCGCGAAACTCGAGGATCGAAAGTCGATCGCGATTACCCATCATGCCTGGTGGTGGACCCATCATTCCAGGTGGAGGACCGCCGACCGGCATCCGCGGAGGACCGCCTGGATGCATTTGCGGCGGGGCGGAAACTTGACCTCTGCCTCCTGGCGTCATTATTTGTTGCGAAGGGCCTCCGACGCCTCTCACGGGACCTTGCAAACCGGCGGGTACTCCGGCGACGTTGGCCGGCATGCCGCGTCCCGCGGCACGACCCATGCCAGGTCCGGGCGCTGCGCCGGGGATCGGTACTCTCGGCAATCCTTCTTCCGGAGGTGGAGGGCCTTCCACCGTCAGAGAAACGATGTTCTCGCCTCTCAAGAGTACGAAGCCCAATACCCGTTTGTCCTCTCTCTCCGGTTGCTTTGTATTTTTTGGTTTGATCTTGCGAAACTCTTCGCAGTCGCCGAGTATCAGATTCATGTGTTTGTCGAAAGCTTTGAACGTCCCTATGAACGTCCTCGAGTCTTGCAAGATGATTCTCACTCTGTAATTGATGTGCTGCAGCATCTTGTTGTTCTTACCGATCGTCTGAAAGGAAAAGAACGTTCTTTCAACGTTTCGCGTGCTCGACTCGACTGCTTGTTTTCGAGAGAAAAGAAAGATA